CTGTCAGATGTTAAAATGTGTATGAAAGGGATTGGAATACATCCCTGTGCAGAGGGAAAGAAGCCCCATGCTTTTGTGAGAAGGGTACTGAACTCCACCAGCAAGGGGTTTCACGTCAACTTCCATCTCCCCGGGTGACCAAAACGGAAAGGACCACCAAAACCGAGTCCAGTAACACACCGAATCCGAAACAGGTGGCACAGGTATTATTCACTTATTATAAAGACAACCAGTTTTGAAAATTAATTTATTTTTTAGTTTCTGCAGAAAAAGATAGGTACCAACTCACCTGGGTTCATAAAGGAAAGTGCGAAATACGGGGGGAAAAAAAAAAAATCATGAAAGCCCTGTCATCTTAACTGTAACTACTCCTTGATATCTATTTCATTCTAAAAGGCAATGATAATAGAATACATAGCATTTTCGAACTTTGGCACATACAGTATTCTACATAATTCTACAAACTGGTCTAAACAGAATTTGCTTTAGAATTTAACATTCTACCCAAGAACTGCATCCTGTATTTGCTGAATTTTAGTAAAACCAAACAGTAGATAACAGCTTTGTTAACAAATGCTATCTCATGCTCAATGCTACAGTTTTAAAAGACCAAAGCATCACCTGCCTTCTAGCTAAATTTTAGAAGGAAAAGATAGATGCATGTTAACTGACTGCTACAAATTCCATTAAAAAACCTGCAAAAAAGCATTCCAATTTTTTTGCCACCAGACAGATGAATTAAACCGGAAGCATTACCTATTCTTAGCTCTGCATTAGTATTCCAATTGTGTGATTAAAATAAGAACAAAAACCATTTATTTTCCTCTTCAAGGGATCTAGTCCGCTTTATAGACTAATATCCTACTGATTTAGAATAACTACATAGATATATTTATTACTTTTACTCTATTTTTTTTTCTTTTATTATTTCCATGGGAGATGGCAGAAGCAAAAAACCAAATTTAATTGCCTCTAATTCAGAGCTTATATGTAAAGTTGCACATGAAAAAAATCGTACTGTGAGAAAAGTCAAGGTAGAGGAAGAATGGAACTGTTCCCACCTCACAACAATTACTCCAAAACCTGATACTATCATGAGGTTATCAAAAAACAGATGGTAGAAGCACAGCAAAATCTGCGTATGGACAGACACAGAGTGCACCTGTAGAGAAGCATTCTGCACATCTAACATACCTACACATTGAAGTTTCCCCAGCACACGGGACCCCTTCCCCCAGCGCTCTCCTAACAGATTCCGCTGGCTGCTCCAATATACATGGAGAATGAGGATTCAGAGCTTAGTTTGCAGGACAAACCAAGGGCCACTGCGGAGTCTCATTGCACTGATTATTTTTTTTTCATAATGATAGCAATTACTTTTCTTAAGTAGATATTAGCCTACTTTTAAGAAAAATGGCTGAAAGACATGTATAGTTATCAACTGACAAGAGAATATTTTAATAACTTTATGTGCTCCTGACCTAGAAATACAAAGTACATATACATCTTTTTCAGATTATTACCTGTGATAAAAGTAGCACAATTAATCTAGAACAATAAAACACAATGCTTAAATTCATTTTATAGGAATAGTCAAGAACTGAGCTTTTAAATGGAATAGATTAGATGCAATGAAACACATTCTCTATTTGTCAGACCAAAAGCGTGATAAAAACTGAAAACAGATGACTGCTTACTCAAGAGCCTGGGTTTCCTCTTTGTTTTGCTGTTATTCTATTGCCCTTAATAAAGTTCAAAGCAATGGTGTGCAATCAGTCGAGTAGTGGCTTGTATTTAATAATTAAACCTTTTCAGCATGAGAAAGCGGTAAACAACAAGGTGCAATAAAGAAAGTGGCAGAACTTTTCAAAATCCTTTGGAATAATAATTTCTCATAGCAGATGAAACCACTTTGAAATTTTAACTTCTTAAAAAAATCTGATTTCAGCAGAAGTGATTTTCCATTATAGACTGGATAATTTTTAAAACACGCCATCAGCAGCCATTGCTAGGAAGCCATAAAGGAACACTAAAGACCATTCTTTTCTCCTGACAAAGTCTGACTACAAGATGCCACGATCTAACATTATCCGATGTCATGGGCAGCATACCCAAACCACCATAAGCAACTCAGGTATCTGATTTTCTTTGGATGTTCCAAATGCTTAGAAAGTTAAGCAATTGACTTTCTTCAGTACTTCCAAAACTTCTACTTTGATTTGTCAGGAATATAGACTAGGAATAAAAAAAATCCCCGTTATGCTTACTTTTACACTTTTTCAACAAGGCTCCAAATAAACCCTGCTGTACATTTCGCTAGATGTCCAATAGTTGTGACCATAAACACATCCACATTTTTCTAGTAGAGCCTCTAGGCAGCCATCGTCTCATGACATTTCCCAGATGCTTGACGGCTGTCCCACTGCCTGCCAAAAGGTTTAACATGCTCTTACCCTCATGCCTGAATGTGTATCTTAATCACGCGATTGTGTGTGTACACTCGGCCACACAGACATCACCAGCTATGGGACTGATGAAGGTTATTTGCACGAGCACCAAGCCATATACAGCAGATGCAGAGCTGAGCCCATTTTCCATCTTGTTGGAGGACAAATCAGTTCTGTCCCTGAAAGGCACGTGCGTATGAAGCATCTCTGTCAACGGCTTAACTGCAGGAACGACTACGAGGCACCACCATTAAGAAGCGCGTTCTGTGCTGAACGCTAGAATGGTGTGAAGACAAGAGCTTCCAGTAAATTGCAGATAACACAAATCACTACCTAGATTAATCCAATTAGATTTACTATCTCACTTTGGGCTTAGCTCATCAGCAAGCTGCTTGAATTATTTCTAGCTATTATCCCAAAATAGTTTTTAAATACACCACAGCCCCTTCTCAAAAGCAGAAAAAGCAGTAATGTTTGAGGCCAGCTACATTAACGGAACCACACAGTCCACTTTCAGCTACAGAATATACCACTTCCTCCTTTTATTATAATGTGTTCTCTAAAAGGTGAGCTTTTACAGTACTTCTGAGCTGTTTAATGACTCACTTTCTAAAGGAGATGACCTCATCGAACTCCCAGTTTTAGCATACCAGTTCTCAAATGCATTGCCTCTTCCACCTTTGTTCTACTGGTCCAGTACTGTATTATATACTCACTCCTAAGTGAGATGCATGCGCCAATAGTCCCAAAGAATCACTTTGGGTACCAATTATAGCTGGCCATTACCTCTCAACTGCTGCACAAGTCAAATCTTTCTAGAATTGCATCCTCTCTAAATCTGCTGCAGGTCCTTGCAAGCATTCCATCTTCCTTTACTCCACTATCACACTTGTTCCTTCCTCCATGCACTTCAGTTTCAGCCTAGAGCGCAGAAAAACTGTTGGAAAAAGTAAGCGTTATTTTCACTTCATATGTCTGCAGGGAAAAAGAGGAAAATCCGAAACTCTTGGCATCTATAGCACCTTAAGTGGAAAGCCAACATGTCTCCACCATCCACCAGCATGATGTGCAACTCTTTATGAAGTTAGTCAATATATGATTAGATGCTTTTAGAAGAATAGAATAAAATATGCACATCAGAAAAATTAGAAACCAGTCTGAAAGTTTAAGAAGAAACATTACTTCTTTAGAACAAGACTATAAGCCACTTTCACCTGCATTGCTAATGCCTGAAGTACAACCAACCTAAAAGTTTATTGAAAGCATTGTACCAACAGGGCAGGAAAATAAGTGACAGGTATAGCAGTCCAGAGTTATCCCATGCATCTAGTGCTAACTATATTCCACCTCCAGGAACATTATTAGTGGATCTGTCTAGGACTCCAGGAAGCCAAGATTTTCACTTCAGGACAGCAGTCAAAGACAAGTAAAAACCATGCAATCTTTATGCTATTACTTGGCTACACAAGAAGATATCTAGTATCAACATTTTGGGCTGTAATTTCCCACATAAACATATATAGACTCCTAATCCAGTCCACTCAGCCATAATCAGGTTATATACTATATACAGACATTTTTATTAACACATCGAAGCAATAGTGGAAGAAAAGAGGTTTGTTTGTTTTGTTTGACATTAAAGTTCAAAAGACACAGGAGCAGGGATTAGACTAAAAAATTTTATTGAAACTTGTCCAAAATCCAGTCAGGCACACAATTTACCCATTCCCCTAAGACTTGTCATTCTGTATGGCACAGAAAAATGAATCTCAACAAGTTGAAACATCAAACAAGTAAATTAGTGAAGTTAAGGCACTTGAGATATGTGTTAACTTAGCAAAATTGCATAAGAATAACATTCTACTTTGAATTATACAGTCCTTTCCGAGATTTAATCTAAAGCATCCAAATTCTGTAACCCCTTGAGACAGGGGAACGGCAGGAGCAGAAGACAAAGGTCTCATATTTTCCTCTGACTAGTAACCTCCAAGGCCGCCGCAGCCTGTGGAAGGAAGTATTTCTGAATCAGGCTGCAAAGATTTCCTGTAGTACAGGTGCTGAACTACACAACAGTTTGGGCTGAGGCACAGTGTCTTCCACTCAAGAACCCTTAAGGCAAAGTTTCTTTGTGAGATGAGAGGACAAAAGGAGAGAGCAAAAGGCACATGCATTCAATTTTAAGGCCAACAAATCTTTCCTGGGGTGACAATGTTTATCCTGGGATTAGATATCTCTGCCCACTCCCATATCCTCCCTGAGGACTTAGAGAAAATAAACGGAGAATGCAAGAACTTACATAGTGAGCAAAATTCTAATACCTATTAATTTGTCAGGGCTCTGAGCAGTAACTTGAAAGCCAGTTATCAACCTTTAATTCATGCTACAGATAGCTAGTTACCTTTGTAGTTTTGGGTTGTATTTTTGAGAGTGTGATTGTTGATCAGTATAAGAATATTCTTTTTGACTCCAAGCAAACGTTTAAAACTTAAATGTTGCAGTTTTGGCATTTGGCAAAGAACGTTTTTAATGAATAACCAAATTAATAACTCAGTTCTACCTGTTGAAAATTCTCCCTTCATCTGTGAAGCAACCTCTCATATCATACAGCCATTAAGTACTCTTCTCAAAAATGAGATACAGCTCTACGACATGCACATTCCACACTGGAATCTGGAGTATGCTCCAAGGGTTGTACACAGACGGAAAGAAAAGATTTCTAGGTACGTGAAGATGTTTTCTCAACCATGGAAAGGCATGAAAGAGAAGCTATTGTCACCTGCTATGCACAAACAGGAAATAAAGTGATAAATATTTGAGGGATAAAGAAACATATGGAAAACAGATTATCCAACTGAATTCAAAGTACTGTTTCTAATTAGTCTACAGAAATGTAGTTCTAAGTGTTAAGTTCTGAATTTCACTAGAAGAAGAGTTGTTTAAGAAGATGTAAAGCTTATGAAAAAGAGATTGCATCTTAATACTCTGTGTCCTTCAGAGCAAATTGCTTGTTATATTTAAGGCACTACATGTCGTCTTTGGTTCAGTGTTTAACTATCTCATTCAGTGTAAAGAGAGGTAGCACGAACCACACATATTTAGCTCTTCCATTCCATTACACGCAATTTCAGAGTCGCCATCCTTCTGGTGTTACAGATTCTGGAATCCTTTAACTCATTAGGAAACTGCAGGTACAAAATAACAAACATTCTTATTGATTTTATAAGAAGCAAAGGTGTGCAACACTCAACTTAGCTTTCATGTATGCCAAGAAAATCAGAACGAGAAACTGGGCCTGATGCAACTATGACGTAAGCAGCTGTGGAGAAGTCGCTTAAAAGCAAGTCTTCTATTAAATCAAAAGCCAAAACAAATGTATCTTACCTACACCCAAGTTAGTAGAAGTACATAAGACCATTGCATAGACCAGAATAAAAGCTGACCAGTTATTAAACAGCTCTCTTCTGGTCTTGAGAAAAGTCTTTATGAAATAACAAGTTTTATTACTTAGGTATTTTTAAATACAAATTGACTTCTCAAAAAAAAGGGGCTAATATTTGCTTATGGATTAGCCTTCCAGACAAATTAAACTCTTTGCAGAAGCTGAGATGGTTAGAAGCTGGTCCCTCAACATGTATTTACGCCTTCAAAATGCGTAAAATCTAGTAAAAACACACAAGATATCTATACTGATCATATATATATATAAAGCAGTCAATTAATAGTGTTAAGACTCTTCACAGAAGCAATCCCAAAATGTATGCAGCTTTAAGCATCAGCCATCCTTCTTGTTCTCACAAATAAGGATTAATAATCAAGATGTATGGATATGGAGGAAAATAAAAGTAGAAGAGAGACACTTGTTTGCGATATAAGTTGGCTGAGATGTCACTATGAAAACAGAAATATTTTATTGTATGTAATGGCATGAACAGGACAGTATCAGAATCTTTCCTTCGGCCAGACTGAAAAATCGTGATATCCACCAAATACCATTATTTCTGGTGGTTATATCGACCAATATTGCCACTCGTCGAGAAGCGAGTGGAGCATTTTTAAAGGAGTATTTCCCACCAAATTAGGGAATGCCATATAGGCACTTTTCCTATTTCTCTGTTCTGGTTTAAATTAATATTACCAAACAAGGAAACACCAGGCAGCAGGAACAGATTCATTCACAAGTATGCAGTCCAGATTAAAAAAAAAAAACAACCAAACCAACAAAAAACAAAACACCCTGAAAAACAAAACTTCTAGTATTACTCTCAATCTTTAAGCCCTCCTTTGCGTTTACCCACTTCCTTAAAAAAAAAAAAAAAAAAATCTATGGCGTTGTAGCTGTGTTGCAATGCACAGGAAAAAAAATGACTGAATCAGCAAGAGAGACGTACCTGTATGGGTAGCCATGGTATTTAGATCTGAAGACTGACAGCAACCAGCTGAAGAACAACACCACCAAGCCAATACCAGCAATACACATGACTGAAAGAGATGCAGAGTAAGATTTGGGTAATGCAACAGCTGTCTCCGAAAACACCAGTGACTGGGGTTTTCAAAAGCCTTCTGTAATATTTACAGATTTGGTCAGATGACACCTCTAATAGAGTCACTGAGAAGACATAAATAACCCCAATTTTCTTTCAAATTCCTACTGTAAATCAATTTTATACCATTGCTTTAAGAGAAACTAAGTCTCTTCTTCTCTCCCTTACTATCTTATCATTTCCCAAAAGGGCTTTGAGTTTATCTTGCAGTTTGCTAGGCAACTCCAAATGCTGCCAAAAAACCAAACGATTCACTTCTGCTTAGAGGTGGGAAACGTACAGAAACCAACAGTGCAAAAGCATTTCTATTAAACAGTGTATCAAAAATCTTTACTGAATATGCCTTCTCTTAGAGAGAAAAGTGTTAGAATTTACTTTTTCTTTTCCCTAACTACATCCATGTCCGAAGTAGCAGCTTCGTGGAGAAGTACCATTCCTAAAGTAACACCACCATCTACGAATGCTGTTTAAGGCTAAATCAACAAAATACAATGGACTCAATATAATACATTCATTCCTAAATTCAGCTCCCACACCATACCTGGGGCATTAAAACTCATTGGAAAAATTAAAGACTTCCCCAGACAAACCAGCAAATGGGGTGGGGGGGTGGGGGAGCAAATGAAAGGCATTCATAATGTCAACTTTTAAGAGAAAATAAATACAAAGTCTAAAATATAAACTGGAAAGTATAGTAGGTCTTGACAGAGAACTGAAAGCATGCTTTTATTATCTCAGCTTGTCATGGGAGAGCTCAGTCCACTCTTACTACTGTTCTACTCCACTGGACAATCCCAAAAGGAATTCAAACTTTTGCATTTTACTCAGCTAATAGAATGAATAAAACACATGCAATATTTAATCCAACAGGATCCCTTTCAAATAGCAAAATTTCAGTCTTTTCTAATTCTTTAATTTAAAAAAAAAAAAAGCTTGTAAAATTAAGGAAGCATAGACAACTCAAAAGGCCTGACATTTGCTAAGAGTGAATCCTAGCAAAGCAAAAGAGTGGATCCACTGAAACAAAAGCCAGAATTCCCAAAGATTTCGTTCTATTTCACTATAGATGTTCAGTCCCAATTCTCCTCCCAACATGAGAAATACTTATCATTGACTGCAATGGGACCATTAAGAAATCTTTCCATTTCAGATGCGGTCTACCTTCAGCACAAGAGAAAAGCAACTTTAACCTACAGGAACTTCGCCAACTTCTACCATTTACTATCTCCAGCGACTGGTAGACTGGATCCATAATGTAATGGATTGCAATAACACAAACATCAACAAAAAGTTTCTAGGTTGAATTTGACTGAGCGCATCAGAAGCACAGTAATAACTTAAAATAGAGAAGTTCCCCTCCAAATGGATGTTTTAAGTTAAAAAAAAAAGTCTTTCACAATGAATACACAGCAAGAGAGTAAAGTTCTTTTAACACCAGCATATTTAAACATCAGTTGCTTACTTTATATTATTTTATCACAAAATCCCAATGCATCACTTGCTGAAATTGGGATTTTGAATAGATAAGAGGAGAAAAGGGGGAAATTAGCAGAAGTCACTCTGCTAAAGAACACTGGAGTTGCAACAGAAGAGACTTGTTAATTGTTGTCAAGCAGTGAAGAGGACAGGTACTTTGAATGAAGTTTTTGAAATGACGTGCCTGTAGTAAGTCTGCTACTCTGTATACTTGTGTACTATAAAATGTAAACAATTCGGGGCTGTGAAGCTGCAAGAAAAAAGACACTATTAAATAAAATAAAAAATCCTGAATAAAAGATAAAAGAATACAGACCAACACAGGTGACAAGACAAGGAAGAAAAGCTTGAGTTAGAGAGGACTAAAGTTGCAGATGATGGATCAAAAACATACATGTGGGAACAGAAGAAAGAACATTGAATTTTAGAGTATTCTTATGACTCCAAAGGAACATTTTTATACAAATGAGAAATGCAAAAGCTCTCAGCCCACAAGTTTCCGCTTGCCTTTCTTGATGGCAAAATACTGGCACGGAAAAATCCTGAATCGTTAGCATGAACCAGCGGTAAGATTAAAAGTAAAGAAGGTAAGCAAAGAAATAAAAGAAGAAAGATCAGTAACAGATGAAGGAACTCAACACCAAAGCAACAACTAACTCTGTCAAATTGAAACGATAAGAAACATGCACAGAGGATCCTGAAGAATCTTATGATTCCACAAAGATTCACATCTTTGACGTTGTATTCATTTCAGTCATTAAGCATGGAAAAAGGTAGTGAGAAAGCAGTAAACATTTTTCTATTCAACTTAAAGATCACTGGCATAGGAAAAGCATAGTTGTCAACACAGAAAGGCTCTACAAGCTTCTGCATCAGTACTGGGTGACAGTTACGAGCCTTGACAAAGTACTCATAGAAAAGGCAGCATAAGCTAACAGAAAAATCACCACCAACCACGTGCTTCTCAGAAGGAAGGATACTAAACAGAAGAACAATGTGTGTTTCTGCCACAAATTGGGCTTGGCTGCTTCCATGGATATAGCTCTGTAAGAGACAAAGAGTAATTGAATTTAGAAAAGACTGGAGTCAACTTTGACATGATTAACAACAGCTACGGAGTGTGGAACTGGGTTTTGCACTGACTCTTTCAGGAGACAGAACAGAAAGTGGAGCACAAACAATTTCATCTGTTGACTATTGATTTGGGGGGGGGGGAGCTGTGTCAGCATCAGAAATCCTTCTTCTATTAACATGCACAATCAGCCCAAAGTATCATTCAGATTATAACAAGTGCAGCTACAACCTTCATGGTCCAGATTCCGTGTGCAGCAGGACAACATGCCACAATTACACCCTCCTGCACCCACTTATCCGAGTCTGATCCATTCCCTTAGATTCTTAGGTTACACACGTTGCTCTTCAGAACCAAGCATTTGAAATCTTTTTCATGGCATACCAAGAAAAAGGAATACGACTACCATTGAAGCTTTATTCTTCAGTCTTAAAAAGGCTTAGGAATGATGTAAATAGAAGAAACTAAAGGAAGCATTTTCAAGACAGCATTTAAAATATGAGAACTTCCTCCCATCAAGTTGGCTTAGTTTTATTTCCATTAACAGTAATCAACTGAGTTAACAGAAAATTTGAAATTTGTGCAAGAATGCAATTTTTTAATCCCTTAGGGGAAGCTCTACATCACTATGCTTGTGATGTTATATCTAATTAGGAAAAAAAAAATTGATAACACCTAAGCAGGCATGAAAGGACACTTCACCAAATTAATTCCCTCCTGAACAAAATACATGGGAAAAGCCATTATGTGATGTGTAAGCACCTGAAGAGATGCAATGCTCTCGGTACGTTCTGACTACTTTTATGGTCTATCTCATTCTGTATTATGTACAGAGCAATGTATATCAACTGATGTAAAAACCGATTTTTCCCAAGAATGAGATTGCATAAGTCTAAGGTCATTAGATATTAATCTACCTCAAGAATCTCAAAGAAAGCTGTTTTTATATGAAAGTCATTAGATGGGTGTATAAGCTAAAAAGACCAGGTTAAACATGAAATGCCCACCTCAGCACTAGGACTGTTTAGCACATAAGACTCAACATAAACACCTTCATTTTGCTGTTAGCAATTTAGAACTATCATGTCTCCTCACCACTAGAAATACAATATACGTACAAGATAGAGGAAAGCAAATGTCACAGGTAAATAAATGCTGAAAAGAAAACATGAAAACAAATAGGAATGGTTAAAAGATGCATAGGATATCAGAGAAACTGAAGAGATCAGGTAATTTAATATAATCTACCCTCAGAACCACTCCAGCAGAGTACCATCCCTACAACTGCTGCTAGATAGTAAATTAATTAATGTTACTTGCATTTCTTATTCTACTTCTGAAAAGTTTATTACTGAGCACAGAAAGCAATACACCTAGAAAAACCCCTATGCAACATTTGCCCTTACCCTTAGACCATCACAGAACTAATGCTACCATTCTTATAGAATTAACGAATCATCGAACATATAGGAATGACCTTCCTATCAAAATGGAATTCTAGGTAACGGCTGACGTTATCTCACAGCAATTACACAACAGGGCACTTTGTACCAAGAAATCACAAAATACTGATCTTAATCCAAAACAAGTTTGCAAACAGTTTCTTCTATTTGAGCCAAGAAGAGGATAAAGCTAATTGGAAGAAAATCTAAATCTTGATTGGAGCTCTAACACTCCTTCTGCTTCCCATAAAACAAACCCCCTCTTTTACAGGCATACTGTAAGAGAAGACAGATCCTCTCTGAGCTAATCAACAGCTCTCTAATTTGCCTTGCTCACTGCAGGAGAGGTTAGCCTCACTGACTTACAAAGAAAGAAGCCAAGAGTAGAATTTGCACTCTGACTTGCCTCTTTTAGTATCAGCCTCACTCTGTAAAAATACAACAGAAACATAGAAAAGAAAAGAAAAACTTACCACTTGTCCTGTATGGGGATTCTTGTGAGCATAGGGCGGACCTCTAATGTGGTTCCACATCTGCCCTGATGTCATCGCCAACACAAAACACTGAAAAGGAAAGAACAAACACCATTTAATAAGGATTTTAAGTTTTTACCCAATTTCTTTTCACTTCATACCAAAATGTACCAGTCTGGAATACAATCTTAGGCTATCCATTGCCCTACGTTTTATATGTATATAAGGCACCTAATAAAGCATTAACTGACCTGAAAAGACCAAGATCAAATAATATTATTGTCTTGATTTGAGGTAAAACAGGACCAATTTTGTTCAGTAATTTTACTTTTTAGCTGGGCCTCTTCTTACTCCTGTAATTAACAGCATATTGTGCAGACACTGTTCGCTCTCAGAGCGATCAGAGCGATGTTTACAGCTGATGCCCAGGCATGGTATGCAGAGAGGCTCTCGCTTACACCTATTGCTAGAACACCCCAGGGCAGCCAACTGTTACTTGTCCCGTTGGAGGGTCGGAAGTAGAAAAACATAGAGGGGTCCCACCTGCGGGGAGGAGCGGACAGGACAGGGGACCCAAAACTGACCAACAGGGTATTCCATCACCCCATCTGCCTCATGCTCAGTATAAAAGCTGAGGGATCAAAGGGTCAGCCCGCTTTCTCCAATGGCCGGCGTCTGAGGAGGACTCTGTTCATCTGCCTTTGAACCCGATCCTGAATGCAGATCCAGAACGCAGTTCCTGTCCATCACCAAGTCCAGCCTGGGGCTTCCCCAGTGCCAGCCAGTGATGTGACTGTCATCTGGGAGCTTGATACGGTTTTGTGTATATATTTCATTATTTTATTTTTATTCTCTTATTAATATTTCATTGAAGTAGTTTAGTTCTTTCTAAATTCCTAAGTCTCTTTTTCCCTCCTCTGCCTCTCTTTGAGGAGGGGTAGGGGGGAGTATCTGTCACTCACCCAATGGCCAGTTCGACCTAAACCACAACAGATTATTACACTACCAAAAAGTAAAACTAAATGCACCTCATTTTCCTCTACCAGGAATAAGCATCTTTAAATACAGAAGCTTTTAAAGATTTGAGTTGCTACAAAACTCATGACAACAGACAGAGTAGTTTTTACAACTATTTTTTACAGTAATTATAACAGTAGTTATAATAACAGTAGTTATAATTACTCACCAAAGCAGCAAATGCCCAGCCGGTTTTGTTATACAGAAAATCCAGATTGCTTCCACGCAAATATACAAGGCCTCCGACGACAGCCAGCAGCAGTCCTAACATCAAGGGTCCAGCATAGTTTGGTGGCCTTATCACACGGATCTAAACAGAGGATATTTAAATTATTTTCGCTCAATGGGATTATAAATCTGACTTGAGAAGTAAGCAATGCTTCTTCCTCCGTTACTCCAACTTCAGTTTTATACACCTTTACCCTACCTAATAATTTAAAGACTGTTTTTCTTCCATAGGAACAGAAGAGGGAGAAGGACGGAGATGAGTTTTACCATCTTATTAAATACAGAATTACACAAAATATTAAAACACAGGATGTAAGGAAACTTAAAGATGTAGTCATGTGCCCAAACTAGATTTTGTAGACAAGAACTATTTAGAGTGTTGAGAGTAGATCATTAGCCACAGAACACAACTGACATATTTCACAGCTGGAATTCCATAGCGCGGGAGCACCGCAGAGGTGGTGATGGGGGAAGTCTGTACATACTCACATTGACATCAGTTCTGTCAGCCACCCAACGAGCAAGCTGTTCAGCTGCAAAGCCGCGCACCTGTAGTTCATATGTGTCACCCCGTTTAGGCTTCCCTTTAGCAGGAAAGTTAATGAAGGTGGGAGCAGAATTCATGTTTAGCTGTATTCAGAAAATGCACGGAAGATAGAGCACCATGAAACGTCTATTTAGTAACACAATTCTATTCCATTTGTATCTTGCAACATTGTCACTAAATCAACCAATAAAAGTAGCTATTCAATAAATAAATTTCATTGACAATGACTTAAAAAACAAGAAGTAAAGACAGCACACGGTAGTTTGCATTTCTGTATTTCATAAAAGTAACTAATACACTCCTGCAATTACCCTTCTGTGTTCCATGCTCTTTTCTCCTTTTAGTATTGAGGAATAATTTTTTTTTAGCTCTGTCACTAGCTGTTCTGGCTGTCTTAGAAATGAATTGTTACTTATGAGTAGGCTTTGCTTTTCTTTTTTTTTTTTTTTTTTAAACACAATTGAGCATGCTTTCTAAAGTGATCGACATTTCTTTGTTAGCACTCAAGATCTATAGCTACCAATTCAAAAGATTCAGAGCAGCTAAGAGGATATTATAATGTGCAAATAAATGTAGACGTTTACAAAATGCAGTTCTACTTTTTCCTAACACTGTTTTTCCCATAGCATTTCAGGTTTTTTTAATCTGTTTCTTCTCTAAATACTACTTTTGGGAGAGAAATCTGCAAAATAGGAATACATGCAGTAATCTATAAAGGCCATAGCTTGATGAATTAATTTTGATGTAACACTATGGGAAAATTTAAGAATAATAAAAGACATTCTTTTCCACTTCTCCAGTCCAAAGGCTTCCATTTAATAAAATATCATTGCCTAAATTGTGTAGCTTTTAAATAGAGATGACTATCTATTAAAAAAAAAGTTAAGGTTTGCAAAACTATAACGAACTTTTAATGTGATCTTCAATTGCAAGTGTACGTGGAACGTTCTCATACATTTTAACAAAATCTCGTTACATAATTTTAATAGAAGAGCAAAATGACTGGGTACTTGAAAAGAAGTTAAGCCATACTGAAAGCCTTATCTATCGTTCTCTAGTAATCTAAAAATCGTAATATCTGTTCCTAACATTGATGCTTTCTATCTTGCCTCTTCATGTATCACAGAAGATTTCCATTAAGAATTACACTGGAAGTTATTATAGGAGACAAACTCAGAAAAAACAGTCAGAGACATCAGTTCACTCCTAGTGCCTATTCCAGATTTGTCAGTTCTGTTAATATTACTGCAAACATGCTACTGCCCTCTGCTCTTCTCCTCATTTTTTCCGAAACTGGCAGCTTTTAACTTTTCAATTATTTCTTTAATCACTGTAACACTACATGTTGTATACACCTCTGCCTTCTTGCTCTCAGTCTCCAAAACCCGAGTTAAAAATAATGTTAGAAGAGAAAGAGACAGACATTACCATCTGAAATACATCTGAGCCTTCATCAAAATCTACCATAGCAAAAAATATCTTATTGGTAAATGCACTGGAATATCGCCAGGAGTTTGCCAGAATCTGGTATTCCTCATCAGCTTGCCTGTAAAACACACAAAGTGAGATGCTGTATCATATATTTGTCCAGAACACAAGTTATAAAACAGCTGAGGGAGCTGTAGCCACCCACCCTATTATAGCTTCCATCCCACACACCCCTACATTAATTTTCTAGTGTTAAAGTTTAAGGCCAGACGCTCATCTAACAATCATCTGAAGCACCTGGTACATGCAAGGGCAAGTTTTGAGTCTGTGAGCACAAGCCATGGTCAATTCTATTTGAAATTCAAAATGGGACCCAGCAGCTCATGATTTGCTAGTCCACCGAGCACCAAAATGAGTACAGGTGTGCCCACTTTGCCATGTCAGAGGATGGGAAACCAACTAATTTCAACTAAGTCAGTATATAAAAAAAAAAAAAAAAAAAAAAAAATCACCTTTACAGACCTCTCCCACCTCCAGATTAACGTAAGAAAGCCATAATATGGTTAAGGATCCAGCATGTTCTAATTGTGAATAAATAAGTGACAATCAACATATTAGATTAACAGCAACTTTTAGACTGCATGGCCAGCAGTAATTCTACAAACATTTCTTCAGCAGCTCATGCCAGGAAAGTTGAGTTTACACCCTCTTTCTCCAGAAGCCTATCAGTGTGAATATTGTTTCTGCAAAGCCGTAATTATTTTAGAAAGGAGATAAATAATTAAGGACTACGTTGTTTTCTCACATACATATTACACACATATTTCCCCACATTTAATTTTAAAGATTCCTACTATAACGTGCCCTAGTATATTCCTCCCATGAACGTGAAAGTTTTATCCTGTTCTTAAATTTAATTTCCTAAAAGCATATAATGACTTCCAAGTTCTCATTTAGGACTAAATTAAGCCCGTACTTGCACACAACACACTGTCTGTGAGGCTGAAGAGCAGTGAACATCACAATCACCGAGTAATTTCTGGGTGGTGCCTTCACGAGGCGTCGAAATTTGTCTCCATTCATTCGAATAACAGATCTTTTACTAGCCCACTCCATTAGCTGGTTCACTTTCTCTGATAATACCATCTGAAAATAAAGTCAGAGAAACATTGTTGGGTTTGGTGTTTTTTTTTTTTATTTTTTAGTCCCACAGTACAATCTTGACGGTTTTTAGATTTGATGTAACAAACTGCTGCACTGTATTTCATAAGAACACCAGCCACATGATGTGATACTTGATTAAGATTCTTGACAGCATTCACAGATCCTTTTGACAGTGATTTTAATATTATTCGTTTACTTTAACCACCTAGTAATACACATGCTTTACGCACTTTGCCTCTAAACACTTAGTATTACACATGCTGGTGAAGTCTGTCAGCTCACTAGTACTTTTTCATGTTGTTAATTGTAAGATTCCTTTCTGATACACAAACTGCTCCAAATCACTCCTCAGTATTTATTCAATACTAAGCATCACACTGTTTCAGATTTCAAAACTTGGTGGAAGTGGAACCAACAGTAGCAATGGAAGCACTATGAAAGTGAGCTCAACATCTAATTTTCAGCATTGCTGGGAAAAAAATTGATTCAGTATATATTTGGAGAACTCAGGAGCACTCAACACAAAGCTCTTCTTTAAAAAAGAGCCAACCAAATCTGTAACATTATACAAAGAAGCATTAGATAAGCGACAAACCCCCAGATGTCACATTTCTCATCAACTATTCTCTACTCCTTATTAATTAACACCCTTCTTCAGGTATTAGGGTAAATAATAAACTATTCTTTTTTGAGTTCAGATACAAGTATATACAGAGGGATCTTTTCAAACCCTAGGAGTCAAGTGTCTGGAAATAAGCGCTACTTTTGTGATTACAACCAGACAGCCAGTCCGTCCGCCCGCTCTCCCCCTCCACACAGCACGAAGACAATATTCTTACGGTGCTTTTTACCAGAGCGGCAGAACCTGGAATTAAAACACGCTCGCAAATAAAAGAAAAATTGGAACTGTATAAATGTAAAACGACAACTCCTCCGCTCGGCCCCCAGGCGTGCCCGTGGGCTTCCCCTCAGGGCCTGGCCGGTACCGCCGGGGGCGGCCGAGCCTCAGGCTGATGAGGCCCGCGGGCCACTCAGGGTGGGTCCAGGTGGCCCAACGCGCGACCTGCCGAGCCCCAGGCCCGGCGGGGCTCCCGGCGGCACCTCACCTCCTTCCGCCTC